AACGACACTACCGATCATGTGGCTTTGACTTCAGATTTCATCTCTAAAGATGTGATTGACATTGTTCGCACTGATCCTTCCCTTAAAGTGCATACTATCATTGAGACGCTGAAGGAAAAGTATGGGTATACGGTATCATATCGGAGAACATGATTGGGAGAAGTCATATTCTGAATTTCCTCGTTTCATGACAGCGCTCCAACATTCAAATCCTAGAACTATTGTTCAGTGGTACCCACCCCATAATACTCCCACAACTTATATGCACTTTCAAAGAGTTTTATGGGCATTCAAGGCATCAATACATGGTTTTAAGCATTGTCGACCTGTACTTACTATTGATGGCACACACTTGTATGGAAAGTACAAAGGTACATTGCTCGTGGCCATGGGTTGTGATGCGAACAACCAAATATTTCCATTGGCCTTTGCGGTTGTTGAATCTGAGAATGGGGATAGTTGGCCATGGTTTATGGCATGTATTAGGCAGTTTGTCACTAATAGGGAGTTGTGTGTCATTTCTGATCGACATGGAGGTATTGTCAGGGCAATGAATGAGGTGGGTAGTACTTGGGAGGAGCCTTATGCGCATCATAAGCTATGTATCCGCCATCTTGCATCGAATGTGCACACTCATTTCAAAGACATTCATCTAAAAAATCTTTTTGTCTGGATCGCACGGCAACATCAGAAAAAGAAGTTTGACGGTGGGTTCAAGAAGATAGGTGAAATGAGATTGGAGGCACGACAATTTCGGGGGAACATTCCCCCGGAAATTTGGTCACTGCACCATGATGGCGGGTAATAATACGGTACCATCACTTCTAATCTAGCATAGGTTTTCAATAACGTGATGAAAAATGCCAGATATTTACCCATCACCGCTTTGGTTCAGGTTTCCTTTTACCGGGTTAATGCTTATTTTGTTAATAGGCGTGAAACCAGTAAAATGAGAGTGACAGAAGGCCACGAGTACTCCCCATACATCACCGATTTAATTGATAAGAATAGAGAGAAGGCGAAGCATCACACAATTACTCCATTTGATTTAGGCCAAGGGATATTTCAAGTGGAAACCGGTTGTGGTGACCGAACGTTGGGGAAGGGTGGGAGAAAACAAACTGTCCATCTGAAACGGAAAACTTGCACTTGTAAAAAGATGGAGATATATAAGATTCCATGCTCCCATGTGTTAGTCGTGTGCAGACAACGTAGCTTGTCTTATGCTCCATTTGTGGATAAGTTTTTCACATCTGACCAATACGCGGCCACATATCATAGAGTCTTCAAACCCATTCCTGATCGGGATTATTGGCCTACTTACAATGGACCTGAAATCGTGCACGATCCATCCATGCTTCGGGCTAAGGGAAGACCTAAGTTGACACGTATTAAGAATGAGATGGATGAAGGTCCCCGAGGAACGGTTAGATGTGGAAAATGCCACCAAACCGGCCATAATAGGGCCACATGTGCGAAGAGATCGTCAACACACGATGGGGGGGTCCAGTGGGTAAGGTTTTAATCAATAAAATGGATGGTTAAAAAAAGAATTAGTATAATAGTAAAAATTAACTAATACGATTTTGTTTGTTTGTAGGCATGGAGGTGACAGCGGATCCTGGGTCGAGTGATCGTTTTGTCCTGACATTGCAGGCCTCACACATGAGTGAGGACCACGACCACGACCACATCGTAGGCGTAGACATAAGCAGCAACATCTCCATGACCACGATGATCAAGATGACCATGAGAACTTGTAGTTTGCCTTTTGTATTGCAATTTTTCTCGTACAGTAGATGTTGTAGAAACAATTTACAACATTTTACGTATTTTCTCTTCTAAACTCTTGTATGTTTTCTTGATGTGTTCGAGTATGAATATTAGATGATTACTTGTTATGAATATTGGATGATTGTACTGTGTTTTACCAGTTATGAATTTAAGGTTTTGTATTCGATTTGTAAAGGGTCTTTACATGGTGTTTTGTATGTTATTGAGAGTAGGTGTTATGTATGTGTTTGTGAACATGTGTGTTGTATGTTTTATAATGTGTTGTATCTGGCTCGTAACACTTAAACATGAGAATGGAGACCTTATTTATATCAAATAGATGACTTTGGGTTGAACTGAGGCAAAAAATGATGAAATTCTGTTTTCGGAATTAGGCACGATCGTGCCTCTTGCAGGCACGATCGTGCGTGGCTGGCAGTAGCTGCTGGTCTGCGTTCATATGGAAGGGAAAGTCGCTCAACGGTTGGGCGACTTTCCCTGACCATGATTAAACCCAGCAGTAGATCGGTAAATACTTTTTTTCCAGCATTATTTTCGTAATTAATTAATTAATTAGTTAACATTAATTCGGAAAAAAACTCAACTAACAAAGTATTAAAATCCTTATTACTCACATTTTTCTATTACTCACATTTTAGACCGATTATGTACTCACAGTGTTTTTTGTATGGGTACATTTGTCCCAAATTCTATTCTACTTGACAACGTTGATGACCATTTGGATGCAAAAATGTTGCACAATATTTTTTGGCAGAAGTAAACATAAATGTTACCTCTATTAAGTACATAACACTAAAAAATTCATGAATTTTAATTTCACTTGCTTCAGCTATTTCAATTAAGGAGTTAAATCAAACTTAAATCAGAAAAGGTTCCATAAATAATGTCATGCATGCACATTGTGCATTTTAATATTATCTAATTTTGATGTAGTATGACCTGTTATGTCTGATCTCTTTAAGACGATCAAGTCATTTGTTCATGTTTGATTTGTTTTGATATGTTTTGATATCAGATACTACGCAGGGGTAGAGACAGGGGTGCCTGACGGGGCCCGGTCCTGCAAGAAAAAATTGTGATGTATGTACATATATATAAATATTTATAAGTAGTAAAAACTACAGTGCAAATTAAGTTTTGACATCTGCTATTTAATTTTCTTAAGCTTCGGCCCTCGTAATTTGTCATTTCTGACTCCGCCACCGAATACTACGTGCATAGTATATGTTAAAGTGAAAATATCCTAATAATATATATATACTCCATAGTTGAGAACTTGGGAAGAACACAACTACACAAGACACGTGAGTTGGAGAAAAAGTCATCGCAAATCAGGCTTATCATTCATTTTAAGCAAAAAAACGTGAAGGCACAAGTTTAGTTTGCTTTAAGCTTGCGAGTCACATTTTAAGCCCCATACGTTACATTTACATATTGTCAAATATATAACTATAATATACTATTTATAAAATAATTAAATTACTAACAGAAACTTTGGAAGCGTTTGGTATTAATTAATTAATAGGCTAACATGTATATTTGAAAGCTACGGTAACATGACATGCTTATAATGTGATCTTATTTGTTTTTACTAGAAGATACCCCTTGTATACACTTATAGTAGTTTAATATTGACATCCTACAATTTTTGAGCTGTTGATTGAGATGTGTATATCAAAATCAAATTCCTAGTTTGGTTTTTACAACCTTGATTTCGATCCTTAATATTATTATTATTACTATAATTATTATTTTAACTATATATAAGTAATTAAACGTAATTGTTCAAAACTTTGAACGCTTAAATTTTTTGGAAGGAGATCTTCATGACTGCCGCAGTTAGAGTAAAAACTGATTCCTAAAGTCAAAGCTGGGCTTGATTTTTGGAAGGATGACATAAACACATCTATTAAATGGAAGACAAATAGTTTATACAAAATCAAATAATAAGAGGTGTATGAATGTCTTTTAGCTGATGATATTAGAGAATTGAAGACAATCTGCAAATCAAGCCGCTCATGCGATGACAAGGGCAGCGAGTTCTATGTCTGATTGTCAGTACTGGTTATTTGGTCCTTATTTTATTGCTGATGTACTGAATTATGATTTGATTAATAACAGTTAATTATCTTTCTTCCAAAAAAAAGAGGTATATGAATGTAATAATGAATAAATAGAGAGCATGTTTTTCAAATATCAAATAATCACAATATATAAATGATATAAAATGAAAATGATATAAAAACAAGCATACTTTTTTTATACCGATGCACTTTGTGTTTGAGATGATGCACATTTTATTAAGGAGTGTATACGAAGTATATAATTTATGCAGGAAGTTTATTATGACAACTGTCTTTTTTTTCAGTTAATACACACATGTATTTGGAATTATCCTAAATTTTTGAATGAAGCTTAGGATTATTTCATTTACTCTAAAATACGTAGTAATAATTATAAAAATACCACCTTAATATTAGTCATTGATTAAAACATAAGAAAGGTGGATATAAAAAAATCACTTTATTAAAAAGCTTTACTGTTAATAAGATAGGTTCTCATGGGAAGTCTACTATATGTGCAAAAGAAGAAATTGTGCATGTTGTGACCATGTGTATAAATGTTAATAACTAGATCATCCGTACGTATGACCTGCATATATACGAGCAATACTTAAAAACAGGTATGTGCAAAACAAGAAATTCAAAAATTAACTCTAAACATGAGTGAATTTTAAATTTCAATTATATTATCACGTAACACATCGATACAAAATCTCGTTCAAATCTAAGACTACTAGATAATAATAATTCAATACCATTAGTAATTAATTTTCCAATTAAGGGAGTATTTATTTTTAATTTCCAATTAATTTTCGTATCATATACATATGGTTGGCCCTCTAAGGCTCGGTGTACATTATCTTTTATAGACATAGCCATTTATATTATTGTAATGAATAATACATGCATGCTTTTAACATAAGAATGTGAAGATAAGAAGTGCATGCATTGTAAGAAGGTGATATTTATGTTCTAATTTGTACTGGTAATTTATAACTGATGATAAACTAGTTGATTTCATATAGTGTTTCCTAAAGTTGGCAGTAGTTAATGATTATTAACACATTACAAATTCATAAAATAGAGATGCTAATTAAAAATAAGATTAAAATTTGAAAACCTGATGTAATATGTTTCTAATTAAATATATGTACCCAAAAAAACTTATATAAAGAGTTCAAGATTATATTATATTACTCCTATTATATCATATCATATCATATGTTCGTCAACCAATTCAAAGACAACTTAGTTAAAAAGCTTTCTTTAAAACAAAAAGCTAGAGTAAATTAAACTAAATTATAATCTAACTTAGCGCGCGACGATCATAGCCTCAATTTCTTTTGGCAACTTTTACCGTCAATATCCAATGCTATTTAATTGAATCCAAGAAAACTGCATTATAATCTTCATATCAATCTGTAGATAGAAGGTACGTTTCATGTCTTTCAATCTGAAACCTTGACTCTTCCTTCCCACCCTCCTCCATCAGCACACCTGTAATTGTTAAAACAACATCCTATTCTTATTAATTACTTCAAGTTTGACTTCATTTTATACTACCCAGGGTTCATTTTAACTCGAATTAAGTTGGATTTTTCAGAACGAAGATAGTATAAGATTATTAAGATTTAGGATTACATTCTAAATAGTCAATCTGATAAGATGAGTAACTCAAAGTCTTATATGTTTATTTGTATTTTTGTGCACACCCAATGTGAGATAGCTTAATAAAGATACTTCTAATAATTTGTCATTAAATCTTCCAATGAGATATTTTAGGTTTTTTAACTATTAATGCTCAATTACAAATTTTGAATCACTTTTGGTCCTCCTGTACACTTATTTAGCAAAACTTTGTAAAACTTAAAAAGACATGTTATTAAATGATTTACAACTCTACTTTTCTTTATCAATCTAATTTGATTTTATTTACTTCAATCATATATACTTCGTTTTTCTTTTAATTTTAATTTTGCGACTTTGTATAAAGTATAGTTTTTCAATACGTGAAATTTAATCTTTGTAGAGAGTATATATGCATCTAATTTAACTACCTTCAGTGATGATTTAAATTTATGTTCATTCAACTTTAAGAACATTAAATTAGAAATCAAATTGGGACGAATGAAATACTTTCTTTGTCTCGTTGAACTTTGGCATTTTTTTTGTCTAAAAAACTTTGTCCCTCTTCTCTTAAAATAATAATAATGAATTTGTAATTATGTTCTTTTCTTTCTCATCTTTACAAATTTCAATTATATAGTTTTTACTATTTCAATTTCACATCTAACAACCACTTTTGGGACTGAGTCAGTAATACTTTTGGATGAAATGCATACCTTGAGGAATACAAAGAGGAGGTTCTTCAAAGAGAGAAAGAGACATCTGCTTGTAAGCGACGCCAATGTCGAACAAGATGAGACCAGAAGAAGGGTCATAGACGATGATGTCTTTCACCGGCAACCACAGGAAAAGCTCTTCCTGAGACAGACCCTCCAGCCCAATCAGCCCACCATAGCTCAGATTTGCTCTGACCACTCTGTCAAAAAACACCCTTGTCTCATACTTGGCCAAACACGGCCTTTCAAAGAAAACCTGCAGCCGCCCATCGCCGTCAACGTCATAGGACCTCACGGCGTTCTTCGGGAAGAGGCCGGCGGGAAGCCCATTGCTCTTCAGAAGGTCATGAATGTCAGAGCTTGCCATTAGAGGAAGGAGGAAAAGAAGAAGAAGGGTGTGTATCATGATGGTGATGAATATAAATGGTTGAAGACTTGAAGAAGATGATTGAATTGATGTTCAGAGTTTAAGGGCAGGGAATAGATTATGGGGATTTAATGGGGTTTATAGGGGAATTGAAATGAAAACTTTGTTGGTTTTGACAGAATGCCCATTGTTTTTTTACTTGGGAAGATTTTGTTGGGAGTCAAAGACAAGGATGCCATTGGATCTTCTGTGAAAATTTTAATACAGGAATATAATTTAAATCATTTCTAAATATATATATGGAGCATTTATTAATTGATATATTTGAAATACTATGCTCTGCATTTTGTTAATTCGATTGAATTTAAACTTCAAATCCGAGTCAGCACTAACATCACATGAGTTGAATCCAAACAAATGAGATTTTGGTGAATGATAAGGCAGCCTTTACAAAATTGAGATTACACTACCTCCTATTCATTTTAATTGGTTACATCACTGTTTCATCTTTTGCTTATTTTTAAATTATTCAATAAAAAATACTAGTATATTCTAACTGTTTCTCATGGACAATGCAAGTATCTTGATTCTTGAGGGTATGGTAGAGTTTTTTAGTGTATAAACTACACCGTCCCATTAGAAGGTTCCCACTTTCCTTTTTTGTATGTCCCATATAAAAGTTCTCATTTCCATTTTAGGAAACAATTAATCATCTTAAATGACAAATGAATCATTAAATATTAAAAATAATACATTTATAACATCATAGTTATCAATATTAACTACATTATAATATATACCTATTAAAATTATTTCTCAAAATATACTCGAAATACTTTATTTTATTATTTCCTAAATAACCGTGTCGTTTTACTATGAGAACCTTCCAACGGAACGGAGGTAGTACTTAGTACTCCCCCCTCCCACTAACAATGAGACAAGAGGGAGTGACACACAACCCAATAAAAGTAGTTTATGTGGTTGATATTGAATTAATTAGTAAAGTAAGAATAAAGTAAGAATGATTTAGAGTCACACAAACTTTACCAAATTTGGTACCAGACAATCTTAGTGAGAAGAATTGAAAACGTAACGTAAAATGCGACAATCTTAGCGGGACGGAGGAAGTAATATTTAAACAATTTACCGGCCTCTACAAAGTTTGTCAAATAGATTCTGTAATACTCCCTCGGTCCCATAAAATTCCACTCACTTTCTTTTTGGGCCGTCCCAAAAAATTCTTCCCACTTACCATTTTTGGATAATTTGTGTGGTTCACATTCATTTCACTTTTTTCTTACATAACTACAACCATACATTCCCACTTTATTCCACTTTCTTAATATGCGTGTCAAGTCAAATTGAAAAGAATTTCTGGGACGAAGAGAGTATTAAATTAATCAAGAAGCCAAATATCTCGTGATTCGATGGCATCACTGTGATACTCCTAAGAAGGAAGTCACGTGATGGAAACTCATTTCAGTCAAATATATTGACATTTAGCTAGAACACATATTATACTAGTAATCGATTAGAAAACAAGCCAAAAAAGTTACTGAATAAAATTGTAATGAAAGTTATTATGACTATAACATTATGATTACTATAGTTTAAATTGATCACAATGATGATAATTAAAAGTTTAACAGCTTATATGTGTGTAGTCACATTTTTTTCACCACATATATATACATTTAAAGGATTAATTTTTGTTCACGTCTCTCTTTTTTATGCATAAAGTTACTCCTTTGGTTTTCGCTTTTTGAGAATTTGTCACTCAAACTTTCATGTAGTAGAGAGTAGGGAGGATATACTATATCCGATGGTTCCAGACAGTTCATGTCCTGTTCTTTTTAGATTCAAATATTAAGAAAGTACTATTCTTGAAAAATTTCTTACTTTTTTTGTCAAGGATAACAAACCTTGAACAATGATTTTTATTAGTATATTTATATTATATTTATATATAATTTATAAATTTTATACTTTTATGAAAATAATTTGAATAAGGAACATTTTGATATAATTTTCATATTCAAAATAATTCTATATTAAAAAATATTATTGGTCAAAGTTGATTACTGTTAATCAGGAAAAATCAATTTGAGGAATGTTTTGAGGACGAAGGGAATATAATAAAGTGTATATAAATGATGACTATGAATGATAATCTATTTAGTTTCTTTATGAAAATGGAAACAAGAATATCATTTTGTGAAGAAATTACCACTCTGAAATTTAACTGCTCGACAACGTTAATAGTAGTGTTGGACGGCAAGTCGTCGGTGTCCGACTCGAGACTACGTTACAATCAGATTACGTCAATGTCCATCAAACTTGAAACATCATCAACTTCCATGGTTTGATTTACTCAGGGGCGGCCCTAGGTAGCGTCGTACTACTATAAGTTAGCGTATGAAATTAAAGTTGAAAAAACTTGGTCTCACGTTTAGTTTTGGGAGAGTTCCCAAAATAGGAGTAAATGAAGTTTGAAATTCCAAAATAGAACTACTTTTTTTTTATTTTCGAAATGGAACTAACATGACAGTATTTACTGTCATCTTGTAGTTGTGACTGTCAAATAGTTGCAGTATAGTGCATTTAACATGTCAGTATTTATTATAATTAATGACAATATTTTTCAATCATGGCAGTATTTTTCAAAAATGACAGTAATAACTCCTATTTCGGGAAGAAAAACACACTAGCCTTGTTTTTGGAATTCCAAGTGTCATTTGCTCCTATTTTGGATAATTTCCCTTTAGTTTTTTATAACAGGTATGTATGATTAGGTTGATTTTTTGGTCTTAAATTAATAATTTTTCGGGTAAAATTTTGTAAGATGCTTTCGGGTGGATTTCTTTGAAGAAGATTTATGAATATATTCTCTATGAAATGTAGTAATGTTTACAACATTTTAGTATAAAATTCAATCTGGAAGTTAGTTAAATAAATTATTGTTAAACACTATGTTTTTTATTCATATTTTGGCGCCGTATTTTTCGATAATTTATTTGTCTGACTTTCCAATTTAATTTTACGTTGAAATTTTGTTAACAATAATGTACACTTGATGAAAAACATGTTCACAAAATTTCATAAAGAAATTTCACTTCGAAGAAGATTAGTCTGATATGGTTATATTATTAATTAGTTTATTAATTGATTTCGTTCATGGTTGATTGTTTGATGTCTTAATTGTTGATTGTTACCAACTTATCATTGAGTCTTGGTGTTATAATTTGTTAATTTCGTTAGACAAAAAACTTTGATTTCAATTAAATTTATGAGTTTAATTAATTTCAAAGTGTAATAAAAATTATTGAACTCGGACAACATAAAGAGAAAATGGAGAAAATAATTAGAGAAAGCGGCGCTACGTAAAAAAGGTTTGATGTATATGTTTTTTGTGTGGAGAAGTCAAATTTTGAATGTTCTTCTCAAGAGGAGAACTCATAGAAGAAGAATGATTTAGCTACTAAAAATGAAACAATTCAGAATGATTGCATCATTAGAGGAGGAAATTTAGGAGTTGATAATAATAGAGTCAATTTCTTAAATTGGACTAAAATATTAATAAAGTGCACAAATAAGACCACAAATAATTCCTTCCTAAATAATTGCCACCAATAATACTCCCTCCGGTTTGACTGTTATTAATTTCAAAAATGATGTTTGTACACACTCTTGTGCACATCTATGTCTGTGAAAATTTTTTTTGTCTGTCAACATTGATTCACAGACAATGTTTTGCTCAAACAAAATATTGGTTCACGGACAAAAAAAAGCTTCACAAACATGGTGTGTACAAGGTGTGTACATCAAGCATGGTTGTATTAGCTTTTCTATGTGTTCTTAGCTTTTTGGTTGATTTGTCTATTGTTCAAATAATAATACAATGTATTAACATTTTTTGGTTGATTTGACTGTTATTAGCTTTTTGACTAAACCAATTAACTAATTGTTGTGTTCGGTAAAATAGCTTTTTCACCTAGTTTTTTGTCTCAAACAGCCAAAATGCAAAATGCTCATCCCCTTCGCTAACTCTTTGGGCCATTCTCTTCATAATCACTACCGCCCTTCTCTTAGCAGTTAGCACCAGATTTTTCATTAGTACTAGTGTCCGGCCTTGTAAATTCTATCGGAAGTTCAGAACACCTATTTCCCATAATCGCTAGTTTTTATTCTTCTTTTAGTCATGCTAGCTGCAGCTATATATATATTATATATATATATATGTGTGTGTGTAAATATATAAAGGATGTCTTTTGGGAAAACTGTCAAATAGATCTAGGTACTTTTAACAAAAAGTCAATTGAGTCAATAAAGTCCACCAATTATCAAAAAATGACCAAATTAGCATTTTAGTAGGTAATCAACCGGTTACCCGGTTAAACGGCTACGTGGACGTCCGAGCTGACATTTTTTACTGATTTCCATTTTTTTTTGGGAAAATTGGCAAATAGGTCCACGTACTTTTAACAAAAAGTCAATAAAGTCCATATACTTTTTTCCGAGTCAATTAAGTTCACCAACTATCAAAAAAATGACCAAATTTTAGTCAGTTTTAAAACATCCTAAACTACACCATTATTAACTATAATTTCAAAACACATACCAATGGATTTATTATTTTCATACAAATTCGAATAATTCCATTTTAATGTGAAATTAGATTACAACCCTAATTTAATTATCTTTGAAATTACACACTGTTTTTCAAAGTAAATCGTTAAAACTTAATTGAAACAGCAACAATTTTGCCAAAAAAATTGAAACCACAATAATTGCATGAATAAATTAATGTTCTTTTTTTTAGTGATGCAGATACAATATCTTAATTTCATTTTGTTTTTAATGTATGAATGAATTATATCCACCTTAGAAATATAAATACGTATTTATTTTGTATTTCTTTATAAATTATGTAATATGTTGGTCTTTGCGCCAAAATATTCGTATGAGCCAAAATTTATTTTTATATATATAGCCACTATTATACACTCTGTTCCGTGATGACCGAAGCTACAACATATAAACTATATTATCTTTTTATATTTGATAAAAATACACATCATGTATCATCGTAATAAAATATAATTTCAAATAAATTTTTATTCTATTCTAGATACCTCATGCATCCCACGGGTACTTCGTCTAGTATGTATAATAATGTCTAATTTGTAAAAACATAAAGACCACACATACAAGAC